ATATGCACGTGCATTTTCTTAGCTTTGCCAATATAAATAAGTATTATCAAAGAATCATTCAATCAATCGTTTGAGGGTGGGTCCAGAAGACGCGGGTCTATCCCAACCCCCAAAAAATAAAGAAGAAAGAGAGAAGAAAGACCAGAAAGAAGGGAGCATGACATCACTGAAGGCTTACTCCAAAACAACCTATTTTTTTTAATGTCTGTTGTCTCCATCATTTCTAAACAAAATTCTTTCTCTATATCTGTCCCTTATGGGTGGATATATATATATTCGGTGTAAACACCAAGGATAACCCACAAAAGTCGGAAGAATACTGGTTTCCAGTGAGGTCCTTCTGGTGGTGATTGGGCACTACACTGGCAGTGGCCTAACGATGGGCCCGGGGCCCTGTGGCTTTCTGAGACTGGGGCCCCTTTTTGATCCGGTCACCACTTTGATTGTGGGAATTTAAATGTGCTCATTTTTCTAATATTTGGCATTGTATTTTAAATTGCTTTTAACAACGAAATAAATTATATATCAATTGCAGATTTAAGTATTCAAAATAGAGGGAATGTGGGTAGGGAGGGACTTTCACACACTATGCCACCTCAGCCCCAGCATGGTTGGGGCTAAGGTAGGATCATTTATGAATACGGCACCTCAAAGTGGCCGGAAATGGCACTCATAGATTTAAAATGCGAGTATAATTTCCATTTTTAAAACAATTGGAAAATTTAAGGGGGCCCCAGGCCGACAGTGGCCCCAGGCCGACAGGGGCCCCATTAAACCTTCACGGGATATACTATGATATATGTCTTACAGTCGATCTCAGGGACACATTATGCTGTTATGTATCAACAAAGCCCTTTTGGGTAAGGGTGCCCGAGCGAGTGCCTATGGGTTGGGGCACCTTCGGGCCCCTGGTGACGGGGGCCCTGCGGACCGCCGCATAAGAGCGCATAGTCGTTACACCACTGTACATCGGGAAACAATTTCCTACTCATTTCCAATTAGTATACTGCGTTCTTTAACGTGCACACAGGCCATAATAATAATGCACACGGAACCAACAGGTTAAATGTCTCATCCGAAAGACTGTGCGCTATCGTAACTTGCATTTCAGCCCTCCAACTGAAATACAAGGCAGAGCAGTGATGGGAATTCAATACACCACTTCCTTCCTAAAGCCCCTTCCAATTTCCATCTTAGAAAACGTAAAGAATTTATCCTCCAAAAGGCTGGAAAGGACTCCCTCTCATTATTAAGTCAGTAATTAAAATAACTATAATAATCTCACTACAATAATTACAACAACAACAACAATAATATTAATAATAATAATAATAATAATAATAATAATAATAATAATAATAATAATTTTAATATTGGTTGCCTTTTTGCCCTTTAAACCTGTTTCCTTTTGCTGTTATTGTGATGTGGGTCTATTTATTGACAAATGTTTAAATGTTGATTGTTTAGATTTTTCTGCTTGAACCCTTTAATTTTGTAAAATTCAACCCAGTGATGAATAAAGAATGATTTGATTTGATTTGAATCGGAGACCTAGAGATTCCCACGTTTTAGCGCACACAGAGGCTACCACCAGTTTAGGCAACTGAGCTAAGCTGCTCTGCTACCTGGTTATAAATCTAAAAGGTACCATTCCAATATTTAATAATAGGCTCTATTACAGTAACACTATTAAAATTCAGAGACGGACAAAAATTTACTTTCGCCATAATATATTGTACAGTAAGCCTACGACTTCTGGATCACATTTTCTTCAGGCCATCTAATAGGCTTGAAAATATCAATATAAAGACGTTTGAGTAACAAAATTCATTGATTGTTTTTAATAAAGTGTCACTTTAATACCAGAAAATATGTTGCTCTGAAACATGATAAGGCCAATCTGAATAAAATGACCCGATCGTCCTTTAAGGTCCAACTGATGATGTTGCAGGCGTTTATCATCCGAATATCCGAATTATTAGTAGGCCTTTATTATGTATAGATTAATTTAATCGATTTCAACATGCTGTGTATAATATTTAATAATAGGCCTATTATGACGGATAACCATGTATTTTATTCTTTATTTACTGACATGTTTAAAGTCGGAGGCGGATTTTAAGGTGGGTAGTTATGCAGCCGTCCGGGGCTCATACATTTTTGAAAAAATTAAAAGAAAATATTTTGTCAAAAGCGGTTGTATTATTAAATTGCTCAGTAGTAGTAAGTAGGGGCCCATCGCCTTTCCGGGACTCATTTGGACATGGAGGAAGTAAGCGTTTCCCTAGAAAGTACACAGGCATTACATAACTGGTCAAACCTCCATAGTGGGGCATCCAGGGGCATAGTTGAAAGAACCCCTTCTAATAAATCTGCCAAATATTGTGTTTGTGGGATTTTGGTCTATTTGGTTTTTTCGGAAATTATAGAAAATATTACGTATTGTTAAGGCGTTGTAGGAGAGTGCTGAGTGTCAGTGTTACTGTCAGTATAAGTAGTGGCCTCTCCAGGGCCCATTTAGACTCGGACTTCGCCCAGAAAGGCTTCGTAGTAGCCTAATGTGTTAGGTAGTAGTAGGAGCGCCCCCCCCCCCCTCACGAGTTACGTAAATGGGTTCTGTTTATTTTAATATGATATGGGAATGCCATAATTGGACTTTATGGGACAATACATGAAACACTACACCGTTTCTGATATATAAACTGCAATACATTATTCAGCATCGGAAGAGCTTTCCAACGATACTAAACACGACTACTTTTCGGTGAGTTTATATACATATTCTTATTTTATACACATTTTAAGTATATTTTGCGGATATTTTAAAACAAATAAACTCCTATTTTTGATTTATATTCCATTCTGGCATGAGTGACAGTAGTTTTTATATGTCTGGTTTGTTGCCTGTATACAAATTATGATTTTAGACACCAACATCATATCTGTAGCTTATTTAGTTCCAATTATATGCACATTTTAGATAAATTTGGCGGCCATTTTGAAAAATGGCCGCCAAATTTATTCATTTGTATACCAGGTGAAAAATCAAGTGTCAACAGGGATTAGGGTGACCAGGACGGATTAATTAGGATATCTGGCTATGTTGACTGCTTCTAACATTCCACTCCCCCTAACTTGATTTCTAGGCCTCTTTTTTTATTTTTTTTCCTAGTCTAATGATAACATATTGTATTTTTCAATTTCTCTTATTTGAAAAAAAAAATATTCCTTGATAAAATAAAAAAAAATA